TCTGGAAGAATATCCACCACTTTAGTCGGCGACCAACCGTTGGGCTCCCCGTCCTGACTCGGGTCGCCCGTCCACGCAACCATCTGAGACCACCGCTGCAGGCTCTCATGTGCATGAAGACACCTGGTGGCCCACCGGGAAGTCTCCACATCGTGCCCACAAGTGGGTAAAACCACCTCCATGTCCCTCGCCAAAGCCAACATGCGTTCCATGACCAATGCATCAAGGGCCTCTTGCTTAACATCGGAGTAGGCGGCCACAGTCAGCACCATCAGGGCACTTCGGTAAGCATAAACTTTCGTCGAGTGTCGGAAGGTGGTTCGTAGACCCCAGCCATATCGGCAAACACGCTTTGTAACATCTTCTTCTCAGAGAGAATCGACCTGAACACCGCGAGAGCGTCGTCATCCAAGACGGTCGGCAAAGCGACCAACGCCTCCTCCTCCGACCACTGCACAGACCGGAACGCCACCTGAAATCTCCAAGTGAAGGTGCTCCAATCGCCGCCAGCAGCGACAAATTCCTTGACGTGCGTAAGCCGTCGGGTGCGCTCGGCCCCATTTCGTCCAGCAGGAGCAGCAGCCCCCGCAGTTAGCTCACCACGCTGCTTCCCCGAAATGGCGGGGCTCCGACCGCGCCCCAGCCATGCCGCCCAAGATGGCGGCATCCTGCCGCGGGGTCTCCATAGCATGCGTAATGGCGGACGCCTCCCCAGCGCCCACAACGGCGGCCGTCGTTTCCGCAGGGGGACCCTCTGAGGCTCCAGACCCGAGCCTCTGCATGTCACCCCTCAGCAATACCTCCTACGGGCACCCCGACAACATAGGCAACGAGCAACACCAGCTGAAGAAGCACCTTCCACAACAACTGTTGACTGGCGTCTTTTCTTTATTTATAGAATCTCTGCACGACACCGCACTCTCTCTCCGAGTAATTTCCTTCTCTCTCTCTCTCTCTACTCCGTTGACGAGCCATTCTCTATCCACCGTCGAGCATGCCCCCCTCTCTTTCCGATCCTGCCGCTGGCTGGCGGCGTGCCGGGAGAAGAGTCTGCTTCGTTGCGAGTTCGCCACATGGTCGCCGGCGAGGAGAGGTTGAGCGGTGATGCATTCTTGACCCGAGGCTTCCCACACCAACCTAGATTCCTCTCCTGCATCCCCTTATATCCCTCTCGGTGGAGAAAGCTCCACCCTCAGCCACGCCCCCTCGTGGAACCCTCTGGACGGTTCCCATATATTCTCTGGAACTCCGCCCATTACCTTTGGGCCAGATGGGATCCCCGCTTCGGATTGGCTACCAGTTGCCCCCAGGTGGCGCTTGCTCATTACACAAATGCAAGCAATTGAGGAAAATAATTTACACAAGAATCCCCCTGTTATATGTTCATGATCAGAATATAGATTTATACTGAATGAGGAATCTGATGAGCTATAAAGCTATTTCACAGACGTCTAGTAGGGGCGGGTAAGAACAGTACAATAACAAACAATACAAAAACAAGTGCAAAGTACAGTAAAGGCAAACAAATCACCAAAAAACATAGAAATAAAACAAAGACAACCCCATCCTACCAGGAAAAGCCCACTGACCTATTATTTTTCAGAAGCGACCTGGCCACAAATGATAGCTCAACAAAGTGACTTATGAGGTGGAAATTTATAACAGAAAAATAATCTAAATCTCAATGCATGTTTTTTAAATGTGGAGGGGCAAACCTGGAGGACCCAGAGAAAAAACCCACGTGATCATGGGAAGAACATGCACACTCCAAATATTTAAGTTGCCGCATTGTGCATTATTTCCTATATACAGTGCAGGAAAAAAGTATTTGATCCCCTGCTGATTTTGTACGTTTGCCCACTGACAAAGAAATGATCAGTCTATAATTTTAATGGGAGGTTTATTTGAACAGTGACAAACAGAATAACAACAACAAAATCCAGAAAAACGCTTGTCAAAAATGTTATAAATTGATTTGCATTTTAGTGAGGGAAATAAGTATTTGACCCCCTCTCAATAAGAAAGATTTCTGGCTTCCAAGTGTATTTTATACAGGTAACGAGTTGAGATTAGGAGCACACTCTTAAAGGGAGTGCTCCTAATCTCAGCTTGTTACCTGTATAAAAGACACCTGTTCACAGAAGCAATCAATCAATACATCAGATTCCAAACTCTCCACCATGGCCAAGACCAAAGAGCTCTCCAAGGATGTCAGGGACAAGATTGTAGACCTACACAAGGCTGGAATGGGCTACAAGACCATCGCCAAGCAGCTTGGTGAGAAGGTGACAACAGTTGGTGCGATTATTGGCAAATGGAAGAAACACAATCTCCCTCGGCCTGGGGTTCCATGCAAGATCTCACCTCGTGGAGTTGCAATGATCATGAGAACGGTGAGAAATCAGCCCAGAACTACACGGGAGGATCTTGTCAATGATCTCAAGGCAGCTGGGACCATAGTCACCAAGAAACCAGTTGGTAACACACTACGCCGTGAAGGACTGAAATCCTGCAGCGCCCGCAAGGTCCCCCTGCTCAAGAAAGCGCATATACATGTCCGTCTGAAGTTTGTCAATGAACATCTGAATGATTCAGAGGACAACTGGGTGAAAGTGTTGTGGTCAGATGAGACCAAAATGGAGCTCTTTGGCATCAACTCAACTCGCCGTGTTTGGAGGAGGAGGAATGCTGCCTATGACCCCAAGAACACCATCCCCTAGGTAAAACATCAAAATTAATAAAATAATAAAATAAAAATAAAGATCACGACGTTTCGGAGGCAACACAAGTCTCCGTCATCAGGTGGGACAGTCACAGCCAGATCAGCTGCATCAAGTGAGGCAATGATTCAAGATGTAATCCCTTAGAAGCGAGTTGAGGGGGGAGGAGAGGGGGAGGGGCTCATCAGAATGTGGTAGCCAATGAATGGAAAGTATCGGGAGAGAAGGGCGACGGCGTGGAAGCTATTGTGCGCAAGCGACACACTGCTGCCCACGCCAACGCATTGGATAGAGATGGGGGAGGGGGGAGGTCTGATACACATGAGAAAAGAAAGAAAATGCGTATGTTTATACCAATGCTGGCTGAACAATGAAGAGATTACTGTTAAACACTGGGGATGTTAACACTCGGTAAAGTAAAGTAAACTAGTGCCTGTCAGATAAGATGGTCAAAAAAGTGTAATTAAGTCTTTTTTGCGTGGTTAATAACATCTTTCCAATGATTACTAAGTTTGTACCCATCATCACGGTTGAAATTATGTCTGTGTTTGTATATTTGTATGGCTTCGTGTACAAACCTTAGATGGTAGCCAGGAGGTTTGCAGAGAACCTTGGTCTCGGAAAAGACAATTTCATGAGAGCCCACTAAGTTGTAGCAATGATCGGCAATGGCCGAAGAATCAGTTCTGCCGTGTTTCAGATCTGACTTGTGCTCGCGGACACGGTCAGCAACATGACGTTTCGTTTCTCCAATGTAGCAATCACCACAAATGCAACTCAATTTGTAGACTCCAGGATACTGTAAATCAGGAACAGCATCCTTCACAGATGGAATCAGATCACGGATTTTATGCACTGTACTGAATCGGACTTGGATCTTAACTCGCTTCTAAGGGATTACATCTTGAATCATTGCCTCACTTGATGCAGCTGATCTGGCTGTGACTGTCCCACCTGATGACGGAGACTTGTGTTGCCTCCGAAACGTCGTGATCTTTATTTTTATTTTATTATTTTATTAATTTTGATGTTTTACCTACGTGACTTTACCGAAAACACCTAAGAATATGATTCCTTGCAGTCACGAACGCTTCAAGTCTAGAATTAACACCATCCCCACCGTCAAACATGGAGGTGGAAACATTATGCTTTGGGGGTGTTTTTCTGCTAAGGGGACAGGACAACTTCACCGCATCAAAGGGACGATGGACGGGGCCATGTACCGTCAAATCTTCGGTGAGAACCTTCTTCCCTCAGCCAGGGCATTGAAAATGGGTCGTGGATGGGTATTCCAGCATGACAATGACCCATAACACACGGCCAAGGCAACAAAGGAGTGGCTCAAGAAGAAGCACATTAAGGTCCTGGAGTGGCCTAGCCAGTCTCCAGACCTTAATCCCATAGAAAATCTGTGGAGGGAGCTGAAGGTTCGAGTTTCCAAACGTAAGCCTCGAAACCTTAATGACTTGGAGAAGATCTGCAAAGAGGAGTGGGACATAATCCCTCCTGAGATGTGTGCAAACCTGGTGGCCAACTATAAGAAACGTCTGACCTCTGTGATTGCCAACAAGGGTTTTGCCACCAAGTACTAAGTCATGTTTTGCAGAGGGGTCAAATACTTATTTCCCTCATTAAAATGCTAATCAATTTATAACATTTTTGACATGCGTTTTTCTGGATTTTTTTGGTGTTATTCTGTCTCTCACGGTTCAAGTAAACCTACCATTAAAATTATAGACTAATCATTTCTTTGTCAGTGGGCAAACGTACAAAATCAGCAGGGGATCAAATACTTTTTCCCTCACTCTACGTTGCTGCTGTGTGAATGGAAAACCGAAGTATCTTTGGATAATAAACATATCTTTGGATAAAAAAATATATAAAAACAAGTCTAAGCTTTAAAAATATATGTGCGGGTTCATAATAGATCCTTAAGGTTAGGCTGTGTAATAATTTGACCAATTTTACTCCTAAGAGCATGCTCGGATTTGTCCGACCCTTAGTTTGAGCTTCGTTTATGTCCAGGAGATGGTGAGGGCAAGCGAGTCACGTGCGGAATAGGGGGAGGGTAAGTTCAAGTCGGCTCTAGGACATTCTGGAAGGGTCAGGTTGGGGTTTAGAAACAGAGGTGCACGAGGGGATGAGTGGGAAGATCGGAATTGCTAGATTGATGTTTGCATCGTATAATCGTGAGAGGTGGCGGGGGTTTGTGGAGGCCTGCGTCCAGCAGGCTGATAATGATGTTGTACCCCTCAATAATTTTCTGCTTCCCATACACAGGTGGAGGTTCGGAATGCTGATGGTTCACCCTCGAAAGAGGTGGACGTTGTTGCTAAAGTGCAAGTAGGTTCAGCCACCATTAATCCTCAGAAGATGCGCACAGACTCCAACGGGTTGACCTCATTCACTGTGACACCACCAAATGTTAACCAACTGACAGTCACGGTGAGTTTCATTGTTATGGGTGTAAAAAGGTAGTTTCAGCAGGTACATACAGTTGTAGTAAGTATATATATGGAGGCTTGACGACAGGATCGGAGGCACACTTATTTATTACACCAACACAGTTGTACAGGTCACTTGGCTACAGGGATTCTCGACAGCTAACCCCTCTAACCTATACCAATTCCTCCACTACGGGACTAGGGGAGGCTATCTGTCCCAGCTTGGTTAAGCTGGGATCCCGGCTCCCTGAGTCACCAGACCAGCTTCGTCTGGGCTCTCGGGGCCACGCCACCGGCTTGCCCTGGTCGGCCCTTATAAGGACGGCGAGCCAGGGGAGCTCTGGGGCCTACACTAGCTGGTCTTCCGTCTTCTCTGGTTAAAGCTGAGTCCCGACCTCGAGCCCTCGAGCTCATCACCTTTTATAGGACTCGCCCCCGAGGGGGGGCCCGTGGGGGATACACATGCGGACGTCGGTGCTAGCGCCACCCTTGTGTACGGCCGTAACCTCGCCCCTTGTGTTTGTTGGCCATCCGTGGCCATGCATAATCACACCTCAACATTCGTAGCCATGCGCAATTACACCTCTACATCACCCCCCCCTGTACAGCTCGCAGCCGTCCCTGGCTGCAAAAAAAATCAGAATAAAGGTGCATCCCTCACAAAAACCCCGTGTGTGTGCCTCGCGTAATTTTTAACAAGAACAAGAGAACCTTAACAAGAACAACAACAGGAAGAGAGAGAGAGAGAGAGAGAAAAAAAATAACCCGACGCACCCCCCCCGAATAAATACCCCAAAACCAACATATATACACACACTCCGGACGCCACCCCTCCCATTGTCCGCAAGGCCCCCCAACGGCCGACCTCACAATAGTCTGCGCGTTTTGGCGCGCGTCCGCGCGGCGGGCCCGTCACAAGGGCCCGTCCTGGCACGCTCAGTGACGGTTGTTGACGGTCCGGGTGCAAGAGAGTCAGGCGTCGCTGCCGAGTGACCCCCGACCCCTCCGGGAGGGGTTGGTGGGTGTGGACCCGTCACTCCTGTTTCACCTGGGGACGGAACAGTTGGCGTCAGGTTAGGCGAGTGCAGCGACGACGGGGAGTCGGCGACACCCTCACACGTTTGGCCATGCGTGTGTGTGTGTGAACCACGGGGCGGCGCGACAAATGGTTTTAACCTTGAGGGGTGCACATACCACCGGCGCCTCCCCCATTTGACGCGAACACATTGCGGCCGCAAAACCTGCACGACCTCCACTGGCCCCCGCCACGGCCGTACCAATTTCGACGAGGTTGCCAGCGGCACCTGAGGACAGTGCAACCACGCCCTGTCCCCTGGTTCCCATTTGACCACCTGCACCCGCCCCAACCGAAGCCTCTCGTTCGCCTTCTGGCGGAGTTCAGAATTTTGCACGGCCGCTTCCCGCGCCTCAGACAATTTAGCGATGTTAAATTTAATGTGTTCGGACAAATTAGACTTCGCCGGGAGCGCCGAGAGCTTCAGCTGGGTCGCCACAGGGGGGTTAACTTCGCGCCCATACATTAAAAAGAAAGGGGAAAATCCGGTGGCCGCATGAGGAGCCATTCTGTAGGCCTGCAACACACCGGCTATGCGGAGGTCCCAATCCGTCTGGGATACCGACACCTGCTGGGACAGCATGGACGTGATGGTCCGATGCAGCCGTTCCACCATCCCGTCAGTTTGTGGGTGATACGGAGAGGTCCGAACCTTCTCCGTACCCAAGAGGTCGCACACCTCACGTAGGAGTTTACCAGAAAAATTCCTACCCTGGTCAGTAAGCAGCCGTTCCGGAGCACCTTTGTCGAGGACATAGCCCTGGACAAAGGCCTCCGCGATGGCTGCTGCCGACTGGTTCGCCAGGGGCCAGGCCATAGGCCATCTCGTGAAGTATTCAACCCCCGTTAGTAAATACCTATTGCCCCTGGGCGTAGCGGGAAATGGCCCAAGTATGTCCAGAGCGACGAGCTCGTTAACCCGGGAAACTTTTATGGACTGCAGCGGAGGGTTGGACCCCCTCGCAGGCGGCTTCCTCTGCGCGCATTGCGTGCATGACCCCAAGAGATCCCCCACGTCCTTTTCCATGCCCGGCCAGAAGAAATCCAGCTGGAGCGTGGCAAAGGTCTTGTGAACCCCCAAGTGCAGAAGCCGCTCATGAACAGCCCATACCACCTTACCCCTTAAAGCAGCAGGCACCACAAGCCGCTGGCGCCGGGTTTTTCCATCCCAGTGCATCAAAAGACCCTGGAACAACCCCCACGAGTCAACGTTTTCCACCCCCTGACCAGCCCCCCCGACGCGACGGCGCAAAGCGAGGAGGGAGGTGTCCTCCATTTGGAGGCGTCCCCATTCCGCGACCGGCAACCCCAGCAACGAATCCCTCCCTTCTTGCTCGATAGGACCCGAAGCCGAAGGTGCATCGGTAGCGGCCACGAGGACCGAATCGGTGGTGACGTTCGGGGGCCTACAACGCCCCGAACCCAACAGGCACGCGCACTCCGAAGTGGGTGGCAATCGTGACAGGGCGTCAGCGTTCGTGTGGCGGACACCCTTACGATATGTGGTGACAAAGTCATAGTCTTGGAGGATCTCCAACCATCGAGACAACTGGCCCGATGGTTGTTGAACCCGCAGGGCGTACTGTAGGGCCGCATGATCTGTACGGACGGTGAACCGCCGACCGTACAGATACGGGCGGTACTGCTGAATGAAATAAACAATGGCCAATAATTCCCGACGGGTAACGCAGTACCGCTGTTCGGCTGGAGACAGTACCCGACTACCGTAAGCCACCACATGCTCTACGCCCCCGATGAGCTGGGACAGCACACCCCCGATGCCCGTGTTACTTGCGTCAGTATCGAGCAAGAAGGGTTGTGAAAAATCCGGGTAATTCAACGGCGGAGCTCCCACCAAAGCATTTCTGAGGGCGCGAAAAGCAGCCTCCTCCTCCGGCCCCCAATGAAACCTGACTCCCTTGGACGTCAAGGCATGCAATGGTTTCGCAATCGTAGCGAAGTCAGCCACAAATCGCCGATAATACGACGCGAACCCAATGAAACTCCTGACCTCTCCCACAGAGGTGGGAGTCGGCCAGGAGCTGACGCATTCCGTTTTGGCGGGATCAGTGGATATCCCCGAGCGCCCAACAATGTGACCCAAATATCGCACCGATTCGCGGAGTAAATGGCACTTCTGTGGTTTAAATTTCAAATTGGCAGCCCGCATTTTGAGAAAAACAGCACGCAACCTCTGGAGGTGTTCCTCGAAGGATTTGCTAAAGACGATGACATCGTCTAAGTAAATCAAACACGAATCCCATTGCAAACCTGCCAAGACCAATTCCATTAACCGCTGAAAAGTTGCCGGCGCAGAATGTAAACCCATCGGCAAACGGTTAAATTGGAAGAGGCCCTGCGGTGTACGAAAAGCAGTCTTAGGTTTCGATTCGTCATCCAGAGGAAGCTGCCAGAATCCAGATAGCAAATCAAGGGTGGAAAAGAATCGCGCACCGGCCAAGGCGTCGAGCGACTCATCCATCCGAGGAAGCGGGTACGCATCTGCCACAGAGATTTTGTTGAGACGCCGAAAGTCAACACAAAATCTCAGTGAGCCGTCGTGTTTTTTCACCAAAACGATCGGCGCGCCCCACGGGCTGGTGGAAGGGGAAATGATATCGGCGGCTAGCATGTCATCAACAGCCGATTTGACATGATCCTTTTCGGCGGGACTCAACCGAAAGGGATTTTGGCGGATCGGCGCGCTGTCACCCGTGTCAATATGGTGCCGCAGCAATTTTGTACAACCAATATCAAATTTGTGTTGACTAAAAACGTCAGCAAATTCGCTCAGGAGAACTCGCAGCTGCGCGCGCTGCGAGTCAGACAGGTCCACTGAACCCGCGCAAAGCGCATCCAGCCATCCGTCATCAGAGTCCGAATGCGGTCGCGACGGAGGATCGGTGGATACCTGACCCACGAGTGGTTCCTCATAGGGCACCGGCGTTGCGTGTGCAAGCACGGTCCCTTGAGGAACCACGGCCGTTCGCGATCCCACATTAAGGACTGCAATGAAGGGGTCCCCATCCCCTCTCACCATAGTCTGAGCCGCGAGCAAATCGGGTCCATTGACCCCGGCCCGAGATGGACCCAACAAGACCCCCCGATCCGCAACCCCTGCATCAAACGACCGACGCAACCTAAGAGGGACGAGCATCTGAGCCCCCGGAGGCACGCGCACAGTTTTTGTGACGAGCGCCTGCACGGTGGCAAACGCCCGACGCTCCGTGGTGGGGGAAGACAGAAATGTAACGCGTCGGCCCGATGGGAGCTCAATGCACCCTTGGTCAATAAGGATACGGATGGGCATTTTGGCCAGAAAATCCGTCCCCAACAGGCACGGAACCGCGAGTGAGGAGGAAACCAAAACAGGGCCGGATAATTTAATGTCCCCAATGCAGATAGTGGCGCGGATTTGGCCAATAATGCCCAGAGAGCCTCCGTTAGCGGCATAGCACGGCACGTCAACAGGGAGCAAGGGACGACTTTGAACGGGAAGGATGTTATAAATTAAATCAGATATAATGGTCGCCGATGCCCCTGTGTCAATTAAAATCCGCACCTCTACCCCATCAATGTGACCGACCACGACAGATGATCCCGCCGACGCAGCAACGACACGATGGGCGAGCTCCGACCACTGACCCGGTTGGAGCGCTCGCCGCATTACCGAACAATCGCGCGCGACGGACGGGGAATTTGGAGCCCTGTTTAGTTGAGCGCGTGAGTGTGTGTCGGATGTGTGCGTGGGCCAAACGTGTGAGGTGCCGCGACTCGCCGTATTTCTCTGCTGGAGCTTGGGAGGAGACGGCGTGGCGTCCTGACGAGGTGTTGCCCCGCGCTGACGGGGAGCCCGGCATCCAGACGCAACGTGGCCTTGCAGGCCACAGTTGTAGCAGCGTGTGAGCGCCCCAGATGACCTGGGC